TCTGGTCTCAGCCTGGAACTGAACCGCTAAGGGCAGGAACTCCTTTTATCTGGGTCAGCTGGTACCTGATTGGCTTTTGCTCACCATTCTACCCCTTGGAGGACCAGGTCTCTCTGATTTCCAAAATGGCTGCTGCAGAGACTCCTATCTAGGAAAGCTCAGAGGACTCACCTTCACTATTCTTCTCTTCTCAGCCCACTGTTTCTTGGACTGGGGGGGGGGCAGGGGAGAAGTAGGTTGCAGGAGGGCTACGGGGACCCCAGCAGGCCAAATATACCCCATCTCAAACCAACTCTAGACAGCCTGTCCCCGAAAAGAGAGGTCCCCCTTCTACTGAGGTGGAGGCCATGCACACTATGCAGCCCCCTCTCCCCGCAGAAGTTGGACCATTGTTCTACAAAACCACAACCCTCCATCACTTACCTAGCCAGCAGTTCTGTCTTTCTTTAGTCGTGGGACAGGAAAGATTTTTTCGAAGGTGGCTTGGACATTCTTCTTCTTCAGCACACTTCCAAGTGCCCAGAAGCCATCTACTATCCGTCAGATATCCCGAGGTACAGTGACATCAATGCCAATGTGAACCATCACCAATAGATCCTTGCATGTTGACTTCTGAAGCCGTCCAATCTTAGTGTGATATCTTGTGTCTTGGCTCTGGGAGGGCCGGGGACAGTCCTGTTGTCCTCCTATCCCTTGCAGAATGTTCTTTCAATTCTTTGGAGGATTGAATCTCCAGCAATGATCATCTGTCCTCCTTGGACAGTTGGAGAACTCTGTGCAGCCAAGCTTCATTTTCTTACAGGTTGGACCAAGCTATGGTGGCTACTCATATGTTCCTGGAATACCAGACATAACGGCACTTCTTGGAATGGCATGCGCCCACCCATGCCTGCATTACCTAGCCCCTGCCAGTGTGACTTAGTCCGCATGGTGTGTCCAAGGTCACACTGCATAGGGGATGCCATTTTTGAGAGCATCCCACTCCCACTGGCCTGTCCTTGGATGTAGCAGGTGTACAAAGTCATACTGGTGGGGCAGAGAAGTGAATTCTCCAAAATGGGGTATCCCGTCTGATATGAGAAAAAACACCCCCAGTTTTTACCACTATCAGATGGGAGACAAACCAGCAAAAAAGAGGACCCTCTGGTGTGAAACCAGACAAGAGGTCTCCATACGCCAAACTGACATTCAAAAATATTCTGTATATCTCTCCATTCTCTTGCACCTGCTGGATCTTGTGAGGTATCTTCCAAAGTTTCCACATTCACGACCTGGCACATCATGCATCCGTCTTCTATTCAGAAAACAGTGCACACGCTTGTGGGCTTTGGCCATATAAAGTCAATTTTTGCCCAGTGAACTCCCCTTTCTCAGGTGTTTCCTGGTGGCTGTTCTGTCTGGATTGTGGTGAGCAGTGGGGAATTGTTCAAGAGGTGCCGAAGAAGGAAATAAGTCAAATGAACAACACATTCCCAGTGGCTACACACATTTCTTCGACTTTCAGTTTTCCAGGAGCTGGTGCAGTGATGCTGGCATTGTGTAAGAGGGTAGCACTAATCAGAGGGGGCCAACAAAGTCTTTGTTCTCTTAACACAATATTGGATCCAGATCATAGATATCATAGACTTTAAGGTCAGAAGGGACCATTATGATCATCTAGTCTGATCTCCTGCACAATGCAGGCCACAGAATCTCACCCACCCACTCCAGTATCAAACCCCTAACCTATGTCTGAGCTACTGAAGTCCTCAAATCATGGTTTAAAGGTTTGAAGGTGCAGATAATCCTCCAGCAAGTAACCCCTGCCCTACGCTGCAGAGGAAGGAGAAAACCCCCCAGGGCCTCTGCCAATCTGCCCTGGAGGAAAATTCCTTCCCGAACCCAAATATGGTGATCAGCTAAAACCTAAGCATGTGGGCAACACTCACCAGCCAGACACCCAGGAAAGAATTCTCTGTAGTAACTCAGATCCCACCCCATCTAACATCTCATCACAGGCCATTGGGCATATTTACCGCTAATCGTCAAAGATCAATTAATTGCCAAAATTAGGCTGTCCTATCATACCATCCCCTTCATAAACTTATTAAGCTTAGTCTCAAAGCCATATAGGACTTTTGCCCCCACTGCTCCCCTTGGAAGGCTGTTCCAGAACTTCACTCCTCTGATGGTTAGAAACCTTTGCTTAATTTCAAGTCTAAACTTCCTGATGGCCAGTTTATATCCATTTGTTCTTGTGTCCACATTGGTACTGAGCTTAAATAATTCCTCTCCCTCCCTGGTATTTATCCCTCTGATATATTTATAGAGAGCAATCGTATCTCCCCTTAGCCTTCTTTTGGTTAGGCTAAACAAGCCAAGCTCTTTGAGTCTCCTTTTGTAAGACAGGTTTTCCATTCCTCGGATCATCCTAGTAGCCCTTCTCTACCTGTTCCAGTTTGAATTCATCCTTCTTAAACATGGGAGACCAGAACTGAACACAGTATTCCAAATGAGGTGGGAGGGATAGCTCAGTGCATTGGTTTGAGCATTGGCCTACTAAACCCAGGGTTGTGAGCTCAATACTTGAGATGCCCATTTAGGGATCTGGGGCAAAAATCTGTCTCTGGATTGGTCCTGTTTTGAGCAGGGGCTTGGACTAGATGACCTCCTGAGGTCCCTTCCATCCCTGATATTCCTAGATTACTTTTTTGCCTTTCTTAAAGATAGGAACTATGTTTCACTTCCTGCACGAGTAACTCTAGTTCCTCCATTTTGTTACCTAGGCTCTTCGCATTGGTGTACAAACATCTTAATGTTTACTGTTTGGCTTCGCTCACATTCTTTACCCGATTATGCACAGACATTCTTCCACCAGTATCACCTATTAGACTGGTATCTACAGTACCCTTCCTCTATATGTCCATTCTCCTACCCGACGGCATTCTTACATCATTTTCTCCCCTCTCAGTGTTAAAATCCGGTGTGGAGATTACCTGGACATCTCCCAACCATCTCCCCAAACTTCCTAGTTTAAAGCTCTCTTAATCAGTCGTGCCAGCCTCCATCCTAGAAGTCTATCT